AAATTTTAATTTTAAATGTAATGGAATTACTTATTAATTAAACATTTATATAATAAATAATATTATATTAATTGAACTAAATTTTAAATTAATTATTTGTTGATTTAATCTACATTTTTATTATTATTTTTTTTTTATTCATTATCTTATTATGTTACAAAAAAGTAACGACAAGTCAAAAAAATATATCAAAAATCAGTTTATCAGTTTCTCGTTTTATCATTTATCAGTTTTAAACGGTATATCAATTTATCGATTCAAACCGATATATAACCAGTTCCAATTTTCATAACATGAATAAAACCGGTTTCTAAAATTAAAACCAGTTCCAACCTCTATGGTAAGCTAACCAATAAGCAATTTTAAACTTATTGAACATATTGTGAAATTGTGCCAATTGCTTTGAATGTAAGTCAGCTTTGATTGAAATATCCCTAAATTGCTATTATGTTTCTTCATAATCTTGTGTTGATCGCATTTCCCCAAGAGAATGTAAAATCATCAATGATTTTGTAGAATAAAGTGCAGTTAATGTATGATTGTTATTGGGTAATAATACAACAGAAGAATTATCCTGTTGATTTTGATCCATAGTTTCATCATCTGATAAAACAAATGTAGTTGGACTTGCAGTTTCAATATCACTTAATAGAAAATCTGGGGATGTTTCCTGACCAATTTTTTGTTTTTGATTTTATTTCGTGTTATTTTTGCAGAATTTATTTTTTGTGTCACACTCGTAAGAGTCGTACTTAAATCTGATAATATCTCCTAACTGTTTTTTTGTTTTTAATTTATTTTTTGTATTGCTTTTGTAGGAGTCATACTTAAATTTGCTTTTCGTGTTCGTATTTTTCTCACTAAAGCCTTTTTCGCCAGAGTAGTTTCATTGTTTAAAGCTGTAAGCAAGATTATGTGTAGTATTGATTAAAAACATGATGCTATAACAGTAACAAATATTAATAAATTTTTGTAACATACCCTCATTCTCATCAGATGGTTTCAATTCTATATTATAATAATAAAAGTTTTAAATAAATAGATAATATTTATTTAAGAATTTTTTAACTTACCAAATTTTTGTTTAGTCATATTAAAGTACAAATGAAAATTAGAAAAAGAAGTTTGTTTAAATTTGAAAATAACGATCAATTAAATACGAAAAAAAAATCAATTAAAGAATTATTTAGATAATATTTAATCAATTAATCACAAAAGTCTTTAAACAATCTAATTTTAAATTAATCAATCATAAAAGTCTTAAAAGTTTTAAAATTATTTATATTATGATATTACATCAATCAATCGCAGAAGTCTTAAAAAGTCTTTACATCAATCAATCGCAAAAAGTCTTTTATATTCTAAATTGGTTAATATTTTCTAATTCAGAAATCAATACCGTAAATAAAGAAAATTCTAATAATTACAAATTACATAAGCAAACAATATATTTTTTTTCTTTACTGTTTACAGTATACAGTTTATTTAATATCTATGTAATCAATTTATATTTTATTTTATCAGTTTTAATAAAAAGTTTAATTATTATACTATAAAAGCATACGTATCATTTTTTCATTTTAAATCAATAGTTTTATTCAAAAAAAAAAAATAATGAAACGCCTAAGAAGAATTTTTCATACATATTATGCATTGTTCCTGAAGTTACGTGTTAGATCATCTAAAAAGATACAAAATGAAGAAAATAATGAATCTTCTATATCTTCTGATAATTCTTCAGAACATATTGATAATGTAGAAGACGTCTTGTATGATAATGTTTCAGAACATATTAATACAGAAAGTGTTGCTTCGACAGAAGATGTCTTATATGATAATGTTTCAGAATATATTAATACAAAAAGTATTACTTTGGTTATTGAAGAAGAACTGAAGGTAAAGAGCTCTAACAGTTATATCTCATCAGAAATAACGATAAATAAGGTCAATTAATATGTTTTAATATTATAAATCATAATAGATGTTATAGAAAATTTCAGAAATCCTAATAACATATATTTTATAATTTCAAGAATTTTGATGAGCAAATGCAGGACTACCAATTTCCGTATAAACTGTTACTTAATACTAAAGAAGAAGAATTTTTCGAAGATTATGATCTGTTAGAAAAAGAGTCTTCTGATTTTAAAGGCTTCGATAGAGAATATGATCTATATTTTCCTAATTTTACATCAGCGATACTCTTTATTTGGATTACCAAACATATGATATGTGGGTATTATTTTAAATGAATGAGTTTAAAATAATTAACATACTAGCATAATGATTTATTCACATAGCAACCTCTGCATATGAAGATCTTTTTAAGATTCTTACTCATTCTGAATATCGAAAAGAGGATCTTACTGCAAATATTTGCCAGATTCGTAAATGGCAAGATAGACTACTATTAGTTAAAGTACGCAAATACGAAGTACTCTTTATATGCAACAAACACCATCCACATATAAATCTACTAAAACAGCATTTACAATTTCTCCGATAATATATTTGGAATGTATTTTAAATAATTTAGTACTTATGCCAAAGATATACTTTAGACCTAAAGTGATTATAGATGAACGACGAGAATTTTAGTATAGTGAACTTTGGCAAAATTCACCAATGTTTGGAGAACATGAAATAGAAACCAACAATAAAGGTTAGTAATAAATTTTTTATAAAATTTATGTTTTAAAAAATAATAACTATTTTTTACTAGTATATAAAGTAGGCGAATTTTTAGAATACTGTAAACAATCTTCAACATTCATATGCCGTGTACAAAGTGTAGTAGTTGATAAAACTAATAATAATTCATTTAAACTAAAAATTGATCGAATTCTTTCGCATGAGAATCTTTCTAACTGCCGTTCAACAAATAATCGACATACTCATGAAAATGGTAACGAATTATGGTTAGTTAAAGATGAAGTAAATTTAGTTGATCTGGCGAATATAGAATGACGTATTATTATTTGGTTATGTGATATGCCAAAACCTGAAGAATATGAATATTATATTAAAGAAATTATATATCAATTCGATGGTAGATGGAAATTCCGTGATATAAAAATGTGGCATTGATTACCTTGTGAATATATTACATTCACATGATTACCACAACACCTTCCAATTTTAAAGATTTTTATAAACATTTATTTCGATGATTTTGATACTTATAGAAACATGTATCATTCCTTAGATAAGGTGTATTTACAGTTCAGAAATATGCCACTAACATTTCAAAAACAGTTAAAAAACCATTTTTTAATAGGATTTGTTCCATTTGGAGCAAATTTTGATGATTTTATTGAACTGGTTCTTTAGGATATAAAGAGCTTGAAAAAAAGTCTTATTATGAGAACTTTGAATAGTAATGCATTTATTATAGGTGGTATTGGTTGTATTATTGCTAACTTGCTACAAGGCAATGACTTGGTGGATGTGAAAAGACATAATACTAAATACGGATACCGAACATGTAATGTTTCAAATGATCAATATACTAGTATTAATTATAACTATATAAAAATACTTGCTTTCACCAGCAAACTGAGAAATGGTTTTTAAAAATCGCTAGACAAAATTCAAGAATAAGAAAAGAACGATTGGCAGCTAAATATAGTTTAGCAAAATCAGGACCGTTATTAACGTTACTCTTTCCGTCGAATAAGTTAACTATGATTTGAAGTTAGGGAGACAATAGCTATGACTTAAATCCAAT